TCTTTTTGCTGAGCATCTTTCGAGGCATTCTTCTCTTCCCATTTACTCGGATGGTTCGAAATTGGGTGACTCGGTAGGTTCTGCCATGGTGTGCTGAGGCTCGGTAGTTGCTCGCAGGATCCCCTCTACAGTTTCTGTGTTCACTGCTGAGTTGTATGCTATTTCTCTTGCCCTGGATCATGTAGAAGCTATGCACTACAGTAATTGTACTATTTACACTGATTCTTTTAGCTCTCTACTGGCCCTGGAATTGCTTAATGTTAGTTCTCACCCTGTTCTCGTCAACATTCAACACCAATTGGCCCACTTTTCTCTCTTTTATGTTTCCATCCAGTTTTTCTGGATCTTTGGCCACGTCGGTATTCACGGGAACAAGCTTGCTGACACCTCAGCTAAGTCCAACTGCTCTGGTGCCATCACGGCCATGCCTGTCCCATACATGGACTGCGGTCCTGTCTTTAAGGCATGGCTTTGTGCCAGTTGGCAGTCGACTTGTGGTGAGCAATGTCATAACAATCTTTTCCAGATCAAGCCTACTGTTGGTCTTTGGCCATCTTGCTTCCGTAAGGATCGGAAGAAGGAAGTAGTCCTGGCAAGGCTACGCATTGGTCACAGTTTTTTAATCCATCATTTTCTTTTATCAGGTATTGACACACCGATGTGTAGCCATTGTGACACTCAAGTCACAATAGCCCACATTTTACTGTTCTGCCGTCGTTACGATCGTGAGCGGTGGCATTATTTTAAACACATATTTTCTAAGAGTTTACCTCTGATGTTGGACAGTGTCATTGGTAATGGTGACACTGTCCGATTAGACTGTATTTTTAATTTTTTACGCACAAAAGGTCTTTTTAATTGTATATAAATCTTTTATTGACATATATTGGTTTTTAACTCACTGTATTTTTACATTTTACTTTAATTTACTTTCACTGTTTTTACTGGTTGTTTGGCGCAGATAGCCTCATTGCTTTGCACCATAAAACACCAAACAACAACAACAACCTTCAAACTTTTTGTTTGCTTGTAGGTATCCATGGTTTGTGAAAACTGTACTAATCAATTAATCAAATGTATTTGATTAACTCTTTCTCAGCAAGATCGTGCAAATACATGCTCCAGTCTTGGAAATGATACGAGTGGAACAATATATAGTGTAAATAAGACTTCTTAATATATCCTCACAAAAACTGGTAAGATTTTGTAAAAGATTACAAGTATCTTGTACACAAAGAATGACATTATTTTAATTAAATATTTCTACTAACAATATGTTATTTATCTGTTGTAGTTATTTGCACTTAAACTCTTAATAGTTTGAGTGCAAGGTAATTTTCATTTTAAGTGTAAAAATACTTTTCTTCATCTTGCAGTTTTTTAGTTTTATTTGCACAACCTTCTAAATGAATATCAAAAGTTTTTTAAGGTAAATGTTTATATTTTATTTTTCATTTTCTATGCCATATCGCTAACTGTACATATTATCATCAACATACAGCGCAATTAAATGTTCAAAATTAAGAAATAGAACAAATTTTAATTTTTCATAGAATATCTTAAAAGATCTTTTAGTTATTTTCATAATTTGAGGTCTTTTCCTTTACACATATAGTTAATTTTTAATGTTTTATTTTCCTTTCCTGTCCTTTACCTTTTATGATTCATCTTGACACAAGTCAACAGTGCTCTTGTGGCATAATTACAGTATCTTCAGCAGAGATGCACAAGCCTTTAGCAAAATTATCTTACCCTCAATGCAAATTCTTAAGCCTTTAGAACTGACACAAAGTATGATGTATATTTAAAAAAGTGTTTAAACATTTAAATTATGCATTTTAAAACATAAATAATACATAATTAAATAAGATATAAAAGCAAGACCTAAATAAAATTTAAAACATACTTAGCTAAGAAAAACTAAGTGCTATCAGAGATCAAGCAGTCAACAATGCTACAGGCAGTTGTGTCTACCAGATGATAAAAAATATGCATCCATTTCGAAATAGCTGTTGGTGGATTATAGTGTAAAATGAGCTCTTTCTAGTGACTAGATACATGTATATCTAGCAACAACATGTGTGTTATAAAACTCGAGCAAACATATAGAAGGTGGATGTGGCACATGTCCGGGATTGACAAAATTTATTACTTGTTTCTACACCATTTAGCCAGAGCAATAGAGTTGATATTGATTATATCTGATAAATATACTTTATGTTCAATAAATTATAAGTTCCTATAGCTATGTGAGTTGTTTGAATGCAATAGACTTAAAAATACCATTCAGTAATTTCTTGATTAGTACTTCTCATACGAGAAGCAGTAAGACAAGAAGTAAACATTTTTAGAATCAGTGAACAATATATTTCATGTTCTTTGGGCTGAATTGCAACAAAAAAAACAAAAAATCATACATGCATTGTCTAAAAAGCTGCAAATAAATTAATCACCTGCATAATTTATCATAGGACATGTAATAAAGAATAAATCCTTACTGATATGTGGCTTATGGCAGCCTCATATTTAGAATTATTAGATTAAAGCTGTTTAAATAAGGAAAATTTTTTTTATCTTGACAGAATTGCAAGATTCCATTAATTTTGTGTAAACAAATGGTAGTTAACTATTTTAATTCAACTTCCAAAAGAGGGATGCTAATTTTTGACTTGTGTGTTTTGGAAAACATGGACAGTAAACCTAGTGCTGTCACTGTGGTTATTGTACAGATTTCTCTGAGCCTACAGCATTTTGGAATATGCTTTATGTTATATCAGGTGATGTGGGAATATCATTTACATGTATAAAATATATATGCTAACATATTTTAACAACCAAAGTGTTAGTACATGAACTTTTATATCAGAAGAAACAGTAAATCATTACTACTGTTGATATTTTTTTGCAGTTTTAAAAGCAGAAATTTTGGATTTTGTTTGAAACCTAAAATCTTTTTTTCATTAATCACACAAAATTTTTTTTAAATGATGCAGTGACACAGTTGTATGCACTAATGTTTATTTCTCTTTCAACAAAACTATTTTTATATGGTAGTTTAGAAGTTTGTGATATATTAATAATACAATTAAAATACTCTTTGAAATACATCATATTCAAATATTTAAATTTAAGATGTTCTAAAAATCATTTTATTTGAAAGATGATTGTGTTCAACTGGTATTGAATCTTTCAAGATCATGTGTGACATATATGGCTATGGTTTCAAAATGTTGTGGAAAAAGTGTAAGGTTTAGAACACAATATCACAGAGGTGAATTTGAGTATTTTCAGAACTTGATGAAATAAGTACTGCCCTCCTTTTTTATTCAATTCATCACATACATATTGTTAATTACATTATTTTAAAATGATTTTGAATATGCAGATTGGTAAGTTTTGTGACAATCATAGCTGATATGAAGTTTTAGGAATGTTGTAACTACATTTTCAGTTTGTTTAGTATTTCGTAAGTAGTGTCATGCCATCAAAATTTGACTGGTTTGGGGAAAAGTATGTATCAGAGCTTTTTAATGGAAAATATACATAAACTCAGATCATAAAGATGTTTCCAGATCAAAGATTTAGAGTTTCCATAATGGGGATATTCCTTATACTTAAGGCATTGGAAAACAAAGGAACATCAGGACCATTTGGAAAGATACCTGCAAATAAATCATACTCAAACTGTGATAAGCAACTTCCAGTGTCTTATAACAGGTGAGAATACATGAACACAAAGATCTGTGGCTAAAGCTGTTCGTGTGTCCCAGGCAATGCATGATAATCAAGACTATTCTTCATCTGGAAAACTGACACAACTAATGTGTAAACAGATTGCTTCCACAACATATCCAGGAAAATAAGATCAGTTATAGAAAATTATATGAATCGTACGTAGCTAGTGAAAAATGACAGTATGTGGGGATACTTGACCAAACATACGTATAATTTGATAACTGTAAAATATCTGTCAATGACAGTATGTGGGGATACTTGACCAAACATACGTATAATTTGATAACTGTAAAATATCTGTCATTTTCTGCTACTTAATGGATGAAAAACATTTCCAAAGGCAGACCACTCAAGGTGAACTCTGCTTACTTTACTTTCAAACCACTGTTCTTGGACTCTTGTACCACACAGAAATACCAGCTTTAAATGGAAATAAGGCCAAAGGTATGGGTTCACCAAGATAAGACCTTCAATCATACCTTCTGTTCAACCATTGCATACCTCAAGTAGCTGGAGGATGACATGGTATTCATGCTATTCTATACAAAGGCATACCAAACAAATCATTGGATGTGGCACCTAGAGACTTTTATGTGATTGGAATGTTGAAACAGGTATTGGGAAAGCATCGTCCTTATACATTAGATGGCATATGGAAAGCATGCATATAGAATTGGTTTGCTTTGGACATGACAGCCTTAAGTCAGAACCTTTTGTAGTGGAAACAATGCTACACTCATTTCAAAATTATGCTACTGTTATTTTTTGCTTTTATGTTGGAAAAATCACATTTACAAATATAATTTATCAGACTCGGCTAGAAAAGTGACATCACTTTTTTTGTGGAGAGGCAAGGGAAAAATGATAAACTTTTTTTTTAAAACTGAAATTGGCATAAAAGGTATAAATGAAAATTTCGAGACCTATTATAAAATATTTCAATTTTATTACATATAAAATTGTTAGCATTACCAGATAATGATATGCTTAAAAATGGTGTTTAAAGCATACAGAAATGAGAAATGAAAAAAAAAAGGATTTAGTAATGTTGGAAAAAATAGTAACTTTAGGAGGTTAATACATTAATTAACATGTTTACTTATTATCTGATCAGTATCGGACATTTTTACAGTATTTTCATGTTAAATTTTTGGTTAAAAGTGTTTGGATGAGTGACAAAGTGCACCAAAGTTTGTACAAGTTACTTACCATAATCTAGATGAAAATTATATTTAGAGTATTTTGTTTTTTTTTCTTTTTAATAGGTTTTGGCTTCCATACGGACAGGCCACAGAGCTAATATTTTTAGTGCAAAGTTTTTGCCGAACACAAGTGATCACAGAGTAAGTCTATTTATGTTACCTTAGATTAAATTTTAAAAAATTTAAATTTCAAATGCTTCAGGAACCAGCAAAAACAAGAAATGAAGTTGTCATGGCACTATATCCTTGTATTAGTTAATTGTAAAAAGTGGTTTCATGTATAGTCAGAAAATGGGAGGTTGAGCATAGTGGTGTGTTGGGTATGTTGGATTGAGGATTGAAGGGTCCAGTCCTTCAGGGTTTGAGATGTGATGCTACTGAATATTGTTGCATATCTGCTTGTTTGTTAATTTCTGGTAGAAATTCTTTCCAAGGAATTTCAGCGATACAAGTCCTTTCTTGGTTAAACCAGTTTATTCTTCCTCGATACAAACTTTTAGCACACAGTAATTTCACAATCAGTACGTTTCTCGTCACTTTAAACCTGACAACTTTTATAATACATGCTATAAATCACAGTGATTCACAATCTCGATAACTTCATTTTCTAAGAGTGCAAAACACACATACTAGCTCAAAACAGAATCGTAAATTACCCGGAACTCTCTTCATTCATTCCTGTACGCTTTCTCTGCCAGGCTTATATACTAATAAAAGGGCGTCCCGAATACAGTCAGGCCTCCTCGATCATTCATGATCATTCGAGAAATTCATCACATGTCACCAACATCACATGACGTCCGCTGTCATAACAATATGTTCTTTACATTTAGCTGTGGGCACCATTATAAAACTGATTGTAAATTCTGTTTTTCATTTCAAATGGCCAAACAAAACCCTTGTATCATAAGTTTTTTTAATCTTTCAGAAATTATATTTTTTTTATCAAATAGGAAACTAGTTTCTCAATAGCATTTTCTGTTGTCTAAATTATCAGTACTGTATCCTACTTAATAATGTGCCAATTTTACTTTTGGCATATCTTTCAGAACATGACAGTACCTACCCTGAGCCTGTTTTTAATCCATTCAATATGTTGGATGCACATTCTTTAATGCCTAAAACATTCAGTTAATTGTTACATGATGATGATGCAACAACATTACTACACAAAGTTAATGTTGATAGTCATGGAGACATTATTGTAGGTCAGTATTGAACTGAGTAGTTGTATGTCCATACTAATAAACATAGATTACATATACTTGTATATATGAAAAAATAAGTTAATTTCATAAGCCTGATATTAGTTGTTGATTTGAGTTTACCAATCAACATCCATTCCAAAATTTTTCTCTTAACATTATTTCTGGTTTCTTGCAACACATTCACCGTAGTTTAAAGGTAAGTCTGGTATCTTTTGATCCTTGTGTGCAGCTAGATAATGTATTCCAAACAATTCATTGGGGTTTCTTGAATCCTTAGGATGTTATATAATGAAGTTATGAATTGGTTTTATGATTTCATCAACATATCTGGAATCACACAGTGTGCAAGATAGTGTATACAACATGGTTTTATTTAACAGCTATTTAATGGGCCAGCTCTATAAACAGTACATTTTTTGCTAGCTTTACAAATAATAATGTTGAAAGCCAACTGTACAATAATTTTTTTTTAAAGGAGGACCAGATGTTTTGGAGATTTAACACTAAGGCTACTGTCTTTGATTAACTTTCGTATTTTATGATGAACTTAGTCATTTGTAAAAGGTAAAAAAAAAGAAAGCCATCACTACATGGAAGCTGCCACAGCCTTCTGACATTTCATACTGGAGGGTTCAATGTATGATTTTCCCCCTCATATTTACAATAAAAAATACAAAAAATACATATTTTTTTAATATTTTAATTTTTTAATGACCTCTTTTTGGTGGAGTGACATTGTTTTTTAGTGGTTACAATCACATCAATTTGATGTATCCATTAATTGTGGGAAAGGCAAAAGCAAACTTGAAACACCAGCAGTCAAGTTTGTTTATTAGTTTTGAGTTCTGATGTCAACTATAAGTAACAGACTGACAGTTGATGTTTATAGGAGTTTTGCTTCAGTGAAGTGACATATAGATTTATGACTTATTCTGTCTGACATTGCAGACCCCTTATTTTGTATCCATGGTAGCACATTTGCACCATTAGAGTTTTGTAGTGACTGTTTTCTCTCTATTTAGGTTTTATTTATCTTTTTTTTTGTATTGATTTTTCACTGAAGCTATTTTGTCATATTATAATAGAAATAGTTGGGTTTTGCCTAGTTTTTAATGTGCAGGGCTCTGGATCAGAAGACTCGCTGTTCATACAGTGATGCTGCTTAACAAGCTTCAAACATTCAGCTGAGAATATATTCATCTTGTGGCAGTGAGTACTGATGACTGTTTCTTTCTGAAAGGAGGTCTCTGACCTGGATGTTCAGTCCATGAATCATAAAAGTGCTGTTCAGGTTGAAAATAACAGCTCTGGTGCTAGAACAGAAATTTCAAGAAGCAATGCAAGTAGATCTAAGCATTTGGGAATACTATAGACTAAAGCAAGATGGGAAGAGTTAGAAAGAAATCATACTTTTCTCTGTGTTGGTTAGACATACAACTCACGAGTGAAAATTTTCTTCTTTTCCTCATTTACTGTTGATAGTGTATCAAGGTAAAGAAGTTGATTAAATTTAACTTCTTGAATCTGATTTTCTTAAAATTCCAACATACTCGTACAGAGAGAAATGTAGTATATTTTGGGTTTGTCTTGGTAAAGACCACATTCACAAACCAATAATAACCAATGGACATCATGTTAGATGATGTCAAATGTACACTTTATTTCATTAAATATTTGATAACTTCATTCTGTCACAAATATTAATAATCGTTACATTCGTTACTGAAGTAAAAAAATACTTTTAAGTAAAATTACTAACTGTTGTGAATCAAGGAATTATGTTTCAAACTTGAGTGTGCTCAAATTTCCAATAAAACAAAAACAAAATGAATCTGTTTCATTAACAGTACAGTGTTACCCCTGTTATGATGTGTTCAAGAAAAAAAAAAGTTGGCTGCTGGTGATGCCAGAGTTTGCCTTTTTTTCTAGTCAGCAGTGTGTAAAAAAACACAGCAGTTGGTGGTGGGTGCTGCCATCCAGGTGCCTTCCCCCTAGTCAGCAGCCAAACTTTAGTGACAGTGGCAGCAGATAGCCTTAGTAGCTTTGCTATGATAAAGACAGGGTGAGCATGTTCGGTGGCAATATTTCAATTACTTGTATAGTTGGAATAATCAAAAATAGTAATATTCTGAAACCCTAATTTTGATTAGGATATTATTTTCATGATAATTAATTTAATCTTAGTTTCAGTTAACTGAGTGCTAGAATGATAAAAAACGGTAATAATTGGGAACACTAATTTTGGTTAGTTGGTGAGTTTACACGACACTAATTTGTGTAATCACTGCTCATAGGTAATCTATTTATTCGTTAAATTGTTCAGCTCTATTGTTTACTGTATATGGATTACGTATAGTACTTTTTTTTTAATTTGGCAAATGGACTATTCTTTACATTTGGCACCCTTCAGAAGAATGGTCAAGTTTTATGAATTTAAGTTTTGATAAAGTAAAACTTTTACTGCTTTGACTAATTTTAGTGTGCTGGTAAAACTTCATATTTTTGGATTAATTTGTTAAATGCTTTTATGTTGTTGTAATTCAAAGTTATTTGTTATTATTAGGAGGTAGATACAGAAGATTGAGAATTATATCAGTAAGTGACTCAGGATAAGCTGGAGATAATTTAGACTTGCTTTTTCTGACTCCTTCATTTATTAGGTTGGCCTCAACAGAGGATCCTCTTGATCAGCCACCTCCAGCCTCTTTTCTTCAGTTGGTTACTTGGGTTTGTGAGGTTTGGGTGTCTCTCCTATTGCATTTGACTCTACTCCTTCCTTATTAGTGGAAAGAACAGCTATTGACTACTTGGTTTTCCTCCTTCTGATATTGCTGTTCATACTGGGATATTTGCTGCCTAGTTACAGGACAGGATAGCTATGCCTTGTCACACACGTTTATCTGAACAGCACGCTTTGGCTTTTCACAGCCAGGAGGAGGTATATTTAAACTCTCAATGGATGTAACCCCTTTTGGACCTGTGGGGTTCTAGATTGTAACCTGTGATCACTTTGAACAGATCACAGTTTTCTTGGATTCATCTTACTTTCACTACTGTTTTGAGGTATTTATCTTCGATCCAACTTTTGTTGGAAGACTATCAATGTTCCCCTAAGCAATTTGAAGACAAGTTGGGGACTTTGCTGATGTCTGTTTCAGTCAGATTGCATTCTTCAGTTCTTTCTCTGGTTTCTTGGCTAGTTTGTTGTTGGGATTCACTGAGTAGAGACGTCTTCTTAGAAAATGTTTGTTTACTATCTTCTGCCCTCAAGGAGTTATGGGAAGCTCCTTTTCTCTGTCCCATGGTTTGCCGGAGTTCTAGAGATGTTGGAATTATGAATTGATTCAGCTCGTTTACATTATTCTTTATTATCGTTAGCTTCTTGTCTTTCTTGTGCTAATTCATGAGTGTTGGCTCGTAGTGTTTCCCAACTTCCTCCTTCGGTGTCCAGGTGTATTGGTTCATCTGTATTCTCGAGGATCTTTGACTCGGATGGACTGTTGACAATGGCATCGGTGACTATCCCGTGGGTGAGGGAGTAGTGGGAGCATGATTACATCACTTTCTGGACATCTGGAGCTGTTTCACCAGGGATCCATGGGTACTACATTTCTGCATTCAGGGTTGGTCATTCATTTTGCATTACCTCCACTATTCTTCTGGGATTTTATTCCCGTTTATTTATTGTGCCCAAGAAGACAGGAGTTTGGTGTCCAATCATTGATTTGTCTTTGCCCCAGGTCTCTGGATGACCAAGTTCAATGTTATCGATGCTTATCTCTATATTCTCAGAACGGAATCTTCCCGGATATTTCTCAGATTTGTGCACAGGGGTCAGGTCCTTTGAATCTTGCATCAGCACCTTATGTCTTCTGCAGAGTTGTATGTACTTTTTATCATCATCTGCATTCTTTGGGTCTGTGCACACATCATTATATGGATGACTGGCTTCTTCTGGCACCTTCCCATCAATTAGCAGAACAATACTCAGATTCTCCTTTCAGAAGCCACAAAAGCAGTCTTTCTTATCAGACTGGAGAAATCTATTCCGTTACTGACACAATATTTCATTCATCTGGTTGTGTTTTTCAATACTCACTTAAGTCGAGCTCAACCAACCCCTATCAGGTTACAAGCCATGGAAAGAGCCATCAGGCTTTTACTTCAGTATCCTTCTCCTACTGCATGGATGGTTCTCTCTCTCTTTTGGGGATATGGGCATTACTAATCTCTCATTCCTTTGGGATGAGCACATATGAGGTCTTTTCAGCAGTCACTGCCCTACCAATGGATCATGCATCCTGAACCTTTGGATCATCCTGTCTCATTACTTAGGAGCAGCATAGTCGATTGCAAATGGTGGTTGGATCGGAACAACACTACTATTGGAGTACCCATTCCACCACCTCGTCCTGACATCCATCTGTACACAGATGCATCTCTTCAGGGATGGGGAGCTTATCCTCAAGGTAAGGAGTTCCAGGGTATTTGGACAGAGGATGAGTCTACCCTTCATATCAATGTTCTTGAATGCCTTGCAGTACACTGGACTATGGTTCAAGGTCTGTCTCTCTTGAGGGGAAAAGGGAAAGTATGTGCTGTAGACATGACAGCCTTTTGCAGTAGAATAATGCTGGAGAATTATTGCCATGATGTATGGTTTTCCAGGAGCATTACTGGACATGGACTATAAGGACATTGTTGAACTTTGTTTAATTAAAGTTGATATCCATCACAAAAACAGTCTGCATTAACTGCTTTAAGTGATGGCTTTTAAGTCAGTGTCTAGAATGGCAGGAGGCTGATTAAAGTCCTGGCAGCTTCTGTCTTCTATTGCCAAGTGTCCTTATTGTCCATTGTAAAAACAGGTGCTTATATGCTGTCAAAGCAATGGTAAGGATAACTCTCAGACTGCACAATCAGTCCAATATGGACAGTTCATTATATATTCCTATCAGCTAAAGTGAACCAACCTGGCTAAATTATTAAACTTGGGCTTTACAAAGAACAAGATCCTTGTGAAGCAGCCCAAAAGGTAAAAATATCACAACAATTGCTGTCAGCATTCTTGCTCAAAGTGACTATCTTGAACCTGTAGCTGTTGCTAAGTCTTGCTGAGTGGTTCTTCTTGGATTTGCTCATAGAACCTTGGATATACTTATTTATATGGATGTCCTCATGTTATGATATATGTTTTCATGTGTATGCAGTACAAATCATCTGCTGAGGTGATCAAATTTTTATTGGGTCTGCAGTGTGTGGCACTACATTCAACTCTGAATAGATTCATTTTTTGCTGGAATGATTCTCTTCCACTGCTCTGCTGCAATGGTATCCCAACTTCATAATGGGTTAGCATCCAAATGTTCAACAACTTTGATTACTGTGTCATTCAAACTCAGTAAAAGCTTTTGAACATGTTTTGGAGACCAGGTGCTCTTGGAAGGGGTTAATTTAGATCCTTCTTGTCTGCATTTATGAATAATGGCACTGTTTACTTTACCTCTCATATCTTTCTGAATTAAATCTTTTTACTATGAATTAGATTATAAAAAAGTAAATAAAGTAATATAAACTATTTAAAAAATATTGAAATCCATAATGATAGTTTTTTTGGTAGCAGTTTTGGAATTTTCAATTGTTCATTAGATTTTAATATATTCTGTAAAAACAAGAACAATCACTGTATATAAAAATAATGTTTATACATTTATGTGTATATATAATAGTATTATTATGTATATAATAGTACTGTCTGTCCATATAACTATTTTGCAGGGTGTTGATGGATCTTCACCAAAATTTGTATCGAGTTTCATTAGATCGATGCGGATGTATATTCAAATTTTCAGTTTTGCATTTTGTGGTTTTTATGGACATTTTTGCATTTTTTTACCACTACTTTGCCCCCTGTAGATGGATCTTCACCATATTTGGTATTGGGGTTCATTGGGTCCATGGGGAGACATACAAATTTCCAGTTTTGTATTTTGCAGTTTTTATGGGTGTTTTTGGTTTTTTTAAGTTTGCATGTATCTCCACATGGACCCAACAAACCTTCATGCTAAGTTTGGTAAGATCCATCAACAGGGGGTGAAGTAGTGGTGCAGTTTCACATTTTATGTTTTCCATGAGCCCATCTTAAGGGTTGGTTTATATATTTGTACAGTTTGGAATGAGTTAGAGATTTTTCTTTCTCTGTGAATGTTATTTGGAATAGTCAGTGACATATGCAGTGGTGGATTTTGGTGTATCTCACTTTTAACGTCTTGTTTTAATTTTGGCAGTAAATCAGATTTTTGTTATTCTTTGTCTTCTGTGGTGTGTGATAAAACACTTCTTAACCCTATTTCCCAGTCAAAGTCACAACAGAATTACAGGATGGGCAGTAAATGATATATGACGACACATTTTTCATTGTGAATAAAGGTTTTGTTTACTTGTTCACTTTTGTGTGTTTCTTTCCATTGCTATCCATGTTCAGTTTATCCTTTGCAATACATTTCTAGAATCTGCATTTTGCAGACACTTTTGAACTTATCTGTTTGTTATCAGGCATAGGTGAAAACAAGTTTTTAACTAACCCAATAAATTAGAAGCAGCACATCCAAGCAGACTTGGTGTGGTGTTTGATACCACTTAGTGACTAAAATATATTTATCATCACTTTGTGATAGATCAGCTTTTACTTCATCCTAAATCCAGTAGATCCTTTTAAGTATAATATAAAGCATACTTAAGTATTAAAATCTGCATAAACACCCCTTTGCAAGTGAGAATCCTTACTGACAAATTAAGTCTGGCTAGCTTATGGACATCATCAGTATTCTGTACACATTTTAGGAAACAACATTCCCTCTATTATATAAAAAAAAAAATAGAAACTGCCTGAGCTACCAGATAGAACTAGTAACAGCTCATGGACATCATCAGGATTCTAAATACATTTTAGGAAACAACATTCCCTCTATTATATATATAAAAAAAAAAATAGAGACTGCCTGAGCTACCAGATAGAACCAGTAACAGCTCATGGACATCATCAGGATTCTAAACACATTTTAGGAAACTGTTTATGAACAATATTTTTTGTGGGTCTGTCACATTTTTTGGTTACAAGGTATCTAGCAATATTTGAATTACACACAAAAAAAGTAAAAAGAAAAATATAATTGTAAATATTGCACTTAATGTCATTAATTGCTGCTGTGGTTTCTTGCTATTATACTTTGAAAATGAGTGATTTTTTTACCCCGTTAACATCTTAGAAATGACTTAAGTGATAAACAATTTTTTGTGAAATTATTTTACATTGTGTAGTTTTGCTCTTACTTTGCACATTCGAATGTATAATTTTTTAATGAAAATAAATTGTTTTTTTCTAGATTTGTTTTTGAGTTTAAAATACAGATTACATCGTGCCTACTAATGTAGTGTCATCATATGTCAAAAATGTTTATTATACATGCAAAAGAAAGATTAGGATTTGGGTTGCATATTCTGATCAGAAGTTTTAGTTGAGTGAGTTAGTATTAAAAGTGTTTGTTTTGTGCTTTTCCCTAAATAGAATGTATATTTGAAGTAAACTAGCTTAACTTGGTATTTTCAGTTGTTTTAGGATGATGTTAATATCTGATTATTATTAGTATAGTATTATTTTTGTGTCATTTTTTGAGAAGAAATTGTGTTGGTTGAGTTTGTTAGGTTGCAACCAATAAGATAATCATTCCGTCTTTGCTTTTCAGGTAGTATCCTGTTCAGGAGATGGAGTAATAATTTTTTCTGAAGTTGAGAATCCTTCCACAAGTGTCAATAATGCCTTTAATTGCCATTTTGGAACTGTCTATGAGATCCAGACTGTTCCAAATGATCCCAACACATTTCTCTCATGTGGTGAAGATGGAACTGTACGTTGGTTTGACTTGCGTTTGAAGACTAGTTGTTCTGCAGAAGAATGTAAAGAGGTAATCTTAATATGTTTCACAAAATAACTTCTGAAAGGTTCTCCTAGCTGACATTACATGAAGTATGGATCTGACCTTTAATTAATCTGAACTTCTCTTATGCTGTTTTTCTCAGATGTTTCTTTAATCAGACTATCTACTTTATTCTCTTAGATATGCATTCTTTATTATGTTCCAAATATTTTTAAAATTATTTTTACATTTAAACACATAAATAGATGAATTTATCAAGATAAGATTATGGCAGTGATTATAAAGGATACAACCAGAAATATTTGATTGGGATATAACAGTGAAATGGTAAATTGATTTTTGATAAAATTATGCTTCACATTTGTATAATTTATAGAAAAATCTTATATGTTTATGCTATGAACAAATTAGTTCTTTGGAAAAAAAAACTTGAAACTTAAATTAAGAAAATCATGCTAAATAAATGCATCTAAAAATATTTATTTAATTCTAGTCTCAAGATATATACTTATGTTTAAAGTTCAGTTTTTAGGTTTTTGAAAGACAAATTTGGGTAAAAAATTATCGTCTTTATATTTGGGGTTTATCAGTATTTCCAACAATGTATGAATGCTGCATTAAAACATGAGCATTAAGCCAACATTTATTATTGAAAACTAACTTTCATTCTTTCTGTAAATTATAATAGGTTATATATTTCTTGAAAACGTAAATTCAAATCAGGTAAACTTGCCCCTGAAACACTGTAAATCTTTTTTTGTTGAGTCGTTCTTACTTTATCAACAACTTCATAACTTTTGGTTTTGAACTTTCTTGATGCAAGCATTACATGCACTGCATCATCTTACCCAAAGTTTTCTAAACTCCCACCATCCAGCCCCAGCCAGATTTTCTTGTTGCTAATCATGTTGTAAACTTCATATCTTCATTTGATCAGTTCATAGATTTATAAATCATTGCCAACTCTCTTAACACTTTTGTTAATACAGAAATTTCTACACTTCTTTCAAATTCTTGAGAGGCTTTGTTCACACAGTTAATAACAAATTGTCTATTGATGTCCCAGTGGGTTTTCCAATCATGTGGATGCTCCTTCTTTGACTTAGGAGCAGGATGTTTCTGCTTGTCCTAATCTTGAAGAATCTTCTTTTATATCTTAAACCAGTTTCTTTTATGTGTCATGTTAGATGTTTCTGTTTTTGAATATTTGAATCTTTCATCTTCTGATATTTGAGTTATTTCTGATGCTTTCAGAAATCAGAAGAATGTTAATTTTTATTTTCTTCCCATTTGTCATGTAGGTGGATTTTTAGAGGGCCATCTTCTACAACACATCTAGCTCCACAAGTTTTTGACCCTCAGTTTAGGAAGAATTTTCCATGTGGTCATTGGCCTTGTTTACTTGTCTGTTTACTTTCCTGCATGATGTGATTTGTCTCATTATGAGTCTTTCTTCTTCAGCACAGTTATCACCTATTCTTATTCACCTGATTATTCAATCAGGATAAATTTTCTACTTTATAGTTTTTTGCTGTTTGTGGCTTGCACTGATTTAGTATCTGTTACCACATGGCTTCCATATTCATTTGACTTTCTAGCCCACCATGCTGTTTGCAAGGTACTATTTTCCCCCAGTATTTCAGTAAAAATTGAATTTCACTCAAATTAGTTTTATGTTCGGGAGAAGTGCACCAACAGGACTTATTCTGGCTCGAGCATCTTGTATTTTTTCTAGTCATCATCCTGTTTTGAGAGGCCCAGCAGGCAATAGTTGTCCTCCATCTCTCTCTTTTTTTCTATCTTTGTTACCCCTCATTCCTTTCACCCCTTTCAAGTTGACAAGCATAGAAACAAGTGGGATGGGTCTTCACAAATCACTCACTGATTTACAGACTAGAGGTGAGCAGTTAGTAGAATTTTGCTAATTGATTAGTAATTACATTCATTTACAATTATTTTTGCATGAGATCAGTCTCACTATTTTAAATTTCTTTCGTGCTTTTTTAAAGACTTTTTTTAACTACTATTTGTTTATTCTCAGGTACAAGGATTATTGAGTAAGTTTGTTTTTAATCTTAAACTGTTGTACATTAAAATGTTTCATATACATAACATAGTACAAAACCTGTAATAATTCAAACTTTTACAGTAGGCAAGTTCTGAATTTCATGAAAACAATGTTTTGACCCATAGTATTAGTTCATCGTTGAGTGATGACTTAATACTTTGGGTTTTAATGCTGTAATCATTGATATCAGAACTTGCTATACTGTAAAAGATACTGTTATTGTGTTTTTGAATTAATTATTCAATTCATTTGGTTTCTCACTAAACATTAAAAGTTGTAACGGGTTGAAAATACGACTAATACTGTTCCATGGGTCTCTCCCTACAGCCCCCCAGTAGCACAGTGGTATGTCTGCATACTTAAAAAGCTAGAATCCGGGTTTCAATACTTGTGGTGGGCAGAGCACAGATTGCCCATTGTGTAGCTCTTTGCTTAATTACTAACAAACAAACAACTCTCCCTACAAATGTTCACAAGACTACTAAAACTACTGAATTTTTGTTGATGAAAATAAACGTTGATTATAAGTCAGAAAATACTAAACAAAACTGTTAATAATGAGATTACTATTTGGTACATATTAGCATACGTTACATACTTTAAATAGTGGGCATCTAATTTATGATTTTATATGTATGTAAATATATTGTGGTGAACAGAACATACACAACGACATCTTGGTGATATTTTTGGTGTATATTCACTGTACAAAGGGACAATAAATGTAATAGCTGTGCCACTTGACTTATAAGAGTTAAAGGAGAATAGAATTATCATGGGTATAAAATTAGTCATTATTTTGTACACAACAATATACTAGTGCAAAGTGAGCTAAAAGTTTATTATTTCGAATCAGCAAAATCCTGTTTTATCATTTATTTTGTGAGTCATAACTTTTTAATCTTACAAATATGGGCTGGATGGGATCCACCCAGGTCGTAACCACGAAAGTATCCACGAGGGTAATTATACTATAATATTTGATAATCTATGCTTATCATTACAAAATTTTGCAGATTATTAGTAAACATTACAAGATTTTCATACACAAAATATCAGATTTTAAAATTAAGTGTTCAGATTTTTTTATTAAAGATTTGCTCGTGATTTTTTTCTATCAGAATGTTGACTAATTAATGTGTAATGTAATTTTGATTTTAAGTCTAAAAAATACTTCTCTCCATTTTTCATATTTCATTTGCATAACCTCTAGAACCTCCTAAATGAATATCAAAAGTTTTTAAGGTAAATGTTTGTATTTTACTTTTCGTTTTCTCTACCATATCACTAACTCTATTTAATGTCATCAATGTACAATGCAATGAAATATTAAAATTAGGAAATAGAAAAAAAAATACATACCTTTTAATTTTTTTGTAGGATATCTATAAAGATCTTCTTTTGGTTATGTTCATAATTTCAAGTCTTTTCCTTTTTCCATATAGTTATTTCTTAATGTTTTATTTTTCCTTTCTTGTCCTTTACCATTTATTATTCATCTTGACAAAGGTCAACAGTGCCCTCGAGGCATTTTACAGTATCACTGGCAGAGACGTGCAACCCTTTGGCAAAATTTTAGTGCACCGCATAATATCGTAAGTTGTGAGAACTGACACAAAGTATGATGTATATTTAAAAATGTTTAAACCTTTCGATTATGCATTTTAAAATATAAATGACACATGATTAACTAAAATATAAAAGTAAGATCTAAATACAATTTAACAGTATCTCTAACTATAACATATTTAGGTAAGGAACAACCATAAGTGCTATAGTTGATCAAGCAGCCAACAATACTACAGGCAGTCGCATGTATCCCATGATGAAAACTGCGTGCCAATTTAAAAATAACTGTTGTTGAATTATAGTGTAAAATGAGTTTTTTATAATAACAATATACATGTGTATGTAACCTATACATGTAGGCTATAAAGCTCAAACAAATCTGTTGAAGGTGGGTGTGGCACCAGTTAGGGGGGGTTGACAAAATGTGTCACTTGTTTCAACTACATGCATCCAGAGAACTTTAAAATGTACATGTAAATAGGTTAAGTAAATGTTTTATTGTTTAGATGTACATCTACACAACTGGCATTACATTATTGAAGATAAAAGTTTATAACCAATTGAAAGTGCTAATTTTGAACTACATACTACTGTCAGTCTTCCTAAACTATTGACACAACTATTGGAGAGTACAGCGTATGTGAAGAAGTATTCAAGTTATGGAGACCAAAAGTTAAGATTTGTGAATAATCTTGTGCATTACATGGTATTATAACTGAAGTTTAAGAATTTTTTTCAAGGTTTCTTTTGAAATAAAGGAATTAAAACATAGATGATATAAACCTTTGAATTATATGGTAAATTATAATGCTAGATTCATTGACATACATTGATTGTAAAGTTGCTTAATTATATTTTGAGTGTAACTCAATAAAACCTTGTGATGTGCATAGAAAAGGGAACCTGTAACCATAAGGTTAAGGAATTCCTCAGCTGTCTCTTATGGCACGTCAAGCCTGGAGTTTTGTATGTAAAAATTTCTGTCTACTATATATCTATTGCCCAAGATATCCTTACTACTCTGGGAATGATGGTTTCTCTTGATAAAGTTACTTACTTATGTCATGTTCATATACAGTGTATTCAATGGGATTTTAGTTCACAGTGGAGTTTGACCACACATCCATTAACTTTCAAAATATTTCTTTCTTAAACCACTCTTGAGTCCCTTCTGTTTTGGCTAAATCCTTTCAATCTTCATGTTTTTTACAGATTCTTCTTTCATGGGTTGGGGCAGTATGTTAGGAGACCAGTGTCTTTTGGTACCTGGACTTCACAGGAAACAGCATCTTACATCAAGTTATTGGAAATATTGGTGGCTTATTATGCCATCTAGAATTTCTACCCCTTCTACATTATCATAATGTTTTTTTTTCACACAGACAAATCC